AGATGTGGGACTTTAAACAAAAAAGAAACCAAAAAAAAAACCCCAATTTTTTTTTTTTTTTTTTTTTTTTTTTTTTTTTTTTGTAGGTTTTTTTGTTTTCATTATCTAGGCAATCATGTTTTTTAGTGTTTTTCAATGTTTGGCTCTCATCAGCTTCAAGAACATATGGACACTGTGACTGATTCTACCAATAGGTCTTTCTCACTAGCTCCATATTATAACAGGGTCTAAAATTTAAATCCATTCTCTGACTATTTTTAGATGCCTTATTGATGGACACACCACCTAGCTGTAATCCATGAATCATTTAAGCATAAACACCAACAAAACTTGAATATGTGCAGCACTTTGCAAAAGTATTTACACCACTTGAACTTTTTGTCATTTGTATTTTCACTCCCCTTCAGGTCTGATGCTCCTCTTAAAGATACTTTTGTCTGATTTCCTAAATACTTCCATGGATATATTATATTGTAAAGCAAAAATATTGGCTCATCTGATCTGATTTTTATGATCAGCCATATTGTTCCAATTTTTTTGTCTGTTTAAGCTGTCATATTTTGACATTTCAAGAACTAAAATGGGTGGCCACTTGAGTTGGTGTGGGACAAACTCTTATAACAAGTTGACTTTAGGTGAAAATTAAAACGAAATAGGTATTTTTTGGTACTGATTTCTCTTTTGTGCATACTCACAGAACTTGTTCATCCCTTATGGGCCTTTTGAAACCAAAGGGTTTCACATAAACATTTGGAAAATATAGACAAAAGTCTACAGAACTACTGTTCCAGAGCATTTTAAAAGACTAGACGATGTCCTGGCTTCTTTAAACCAAGGGTCAGGACTGAAACTCAGCCTTTTCACTAAGTGCTTGTCTTTTTTTAATGAGGCAGGCTAGCTGAAACTCATGCAAATAAGCAGCCAGCCAGCTGGTAACACAGCAGCCAAATGATCAAGGTAGGAGGTTTGGAGGTGAAGGAGACAAGGTGGGGAGAGAAGGAGGAGATAGAAGAGGGAGATGGACAGTAATAAACCATGACTGGTAGCTTTTTCTTTTATTGTTTCTGAAGGTCTAATCTTATTACTTTATTCACTTTCAATCAATTTATGCCTTCTTCATGGGTGAGTACTGGAAATATGTCCCCTGACAGGAGAGGACACCAGCACACCTTTCCCTTTCTCGAGAAGGGATGGTGTCTCAAAGCTGTATGCACCTCAGCCACCATTGGGTGACAAGCCCCCGCAGCAGTGAGGACACGACCGCTCCGATGCATGTGTGCATGAGAGCGTGAGAGACCTGTCTTTCCCTCCTCTGTAGCGCTCATTCCAGCAGATTCTGCTGGCAAAAGATGTGGTTTACCCTGCCAACAGCAACCACCCTTATCCATCCCATGCTTCTGTCCCCCCTCCCCCTTGGCTTCCTGATGAGGGAGAGAGGAAGAGCCCTACAGCTCCACTCATTTTTCATCTGCATGGGTTTTATCTGTGATTGGAGTGTGTCTGAGTGAATCAAGCTGCACCACATGTCCAAATAGGCGCCAGCAGGTACATTGGCTTGCAAAAGTATTGATACCCATTGAAGGTTTTTTTTTTATTTCATTTTGTAAAGATACAACTACAAACATCGATGTTTAGAATTGGGTGTGTGCTTCTACCAGTTTTGGATTGGACGGAGAGTGAATGTCAATCTCGCCACAGATTCTCAGTTGACTTTAGTAAGTTGTTGACTAAATTGTGGATTTCAAGTGATAGCAACCACTTTTTATTGTTGCTCAGGATGTATGTTTAGAGTCCTCGTCCTGCTGGAAGGTGAACCTCTGCCCCACTCACTCATGAGCCTACATCTATGCATCTAGCTTCTCATCGTTTCCGGTTTCTCTGCTGAAGAAAAGCACCCTTACATGAATAATCATGCCTTTCATTGTAGCGATGGCATAGTTTCAGTTCTTTTTGGCACGCTTTTTTTTCCCCATGTAGTGCCAAAAGTTCAAATTTGTTCCCCTTCAAACAGAGTATCTTCTGGCAAACTGAAAATTGAACTTTTTCGTTTCTTAGCATGGGGCCTCTTGGTTGCTTCTCCAATCAATGCTTAGTAATCAATTAAACCTTCCCCAACATGTATAGTCTTAGTTTTGCACTTGTCTTTTTTTTTGTTTTCACTTTGCAGATAATGGATTGGACACTCCTCTTTTAGTAAAGCTTGTTCATTTTTTTTTACCCCACTTTAAAATTCTCTTCAACTTTCTCACTGACCTGTCTGATGTTTTCCTCCAAAGCTTTCCCAGAACACCTGAATCAAATTAAGTGGGCTCTGTATTGTTAATTGTTAAGGAGACAGATAATTGTGAAGGCAAAATGTTGCATATAGGACTTTATTTCCACATTTTTATTTTATTTTCACATTTTTATTATATTTTTATAAATTACACAAAAACAACATGTAATTTATATTAATCTTTACCGTTATGTACTACTGTGTGTTGGTCCCTCACATTAAATCCAAATAAAATACATTGAGGTTTATGGATGTATGAATAGTTTGCATAACATTATTGACTTGTGATTGCAAAACCAAAAATGTCATTGCAGATACAAAAAAAAAAAAAAATTACAGTCGCAAAGTTCTGAAAATGTAAGGCAAAGAAACCCGTTCAAATTTACAATCAGTATGACAAGACTCAAGTAACCACCCCTTATTCATAGATATTCAATTCCTAAAGAGAACAAGAGTTAGATTTACGCTCGTCATTGTTTAATCATTAAAGCCTCTGCATTTTGTGGCTTTTCAGCTGCCTCGTCTTAGATGTCTGTATTTATTTACTGGTTGTGCTTCCGTCTGGTTTTGGGCGATGAAGACCACGTGCGTGCTCCTGTGGAGACATCCTTCACCTGCTGCCTGTGAGGAACGATCCAAACATGGGAGAAAGAGTCAGAAATCATACGTGTGCCACTGTGTGCGTGTGTGTTCTTAGTGTGACCTGAAAGTGTACATCTCGGGCCAAAAATCTTCATGTAGCAGTGTGTGCAGTACGGCTTCTCGTCGTACTGCAATGCAATCATCAGCACACGATTACTGTGCCATCATTTTCACTTAGTCAGAATGTGTTCTTCATTTTTTTAGTCTCATTTATCTTCCTTATGTACCTCAGCATGCTGGCCAGCCGTCAGCTGTCTGTTGCACCTCTGGCACTTCAGGCATAGAGGATGGTAGTCCCTCCCTAAGGACCTCTTCTTCTCCCCTGCGCCAAAGACAAACAGCAGCTAAATGAGGAGCAGTTTATGCATCTTTACTATTAAAGTGGAACATGTTTCATTTCTGTACACATGTAATCTGCCTTTACTTGCTTTAAATACAGAACAGTTTTAGCGCAGCTTTTGATGACAAAACAATTTGTAATTCTTGATATACATGTTTGTTAGACATCTACCTTTTAAACAAGAAAACTTGACTCATTGTCTTCTAACATGTTGGTAAAATACCTATATCCAAAATTGCTGCATGCAACTTCTACGAAGCAGAGGTTTGGAGTGCCTCATCTTGTTTTAAAATGTTTACAGGGTATAAAATATATATATAAAAAACTGATTATAAATAAGTAAAAGTTGGTCACTGGCAGTCACAAAAAACAATTAACAATATTACTAAGTATTAAAACTAAATATGTTGGTGAAAATGTGTGTTTTAAGTGTGATATTTTAGAGAGTCAGTGTTTTTAGTGAACTTACATTATAAGTTTGTTTTGTTTTGTTTTTTTACATACAGTTTATATCCTTGGGTTGGGGAAAAAATGTGTTAAATACAAGGTCTTAGAAACTATTTCCACCCTTTACAAATTTAATCTGTTTTTTGCGTTTCAGTCATATGCAACCTTATGTGAAAATACAGTTGCATTTTTTTTTTGTTAAGTCATGAAATAAGTTTGATCAACAACAATTTTCTGGTTTGGTTTCCCGAGCCACATCCACAGCGTTTAATGATTGGCTGTACTGTACGATAAAGAAATCACTGAAACAGAAGTTGTCTGACAACATGAAGAACACTAAAGGATATCAAAAAACAAATAAAAAAATCATTAGGAGTTTTAAAGAAATTCGAGAACAGATGAGAACAAAGTAAATATGAATCAGAGGCGAACTATTTCAGGAGTTGCCAGCCTACCAAAGTTTCTCCAAAGGACGCAGAACAACATTTACAGCGATATGGTATATGAAGCAGTGAAAGTCACTGCTTCATATAGAGCTAAAACCAAGAGATGGCATCCATGGGCCAAAACTGCAGCTGACCAAAAAGAAGACAAAAGCCCATCCCCCCCTTCCTCCAGCAACATTTTAATGATCCCCAAGACTTTCAAGAAAACATTCTGTGGACTGACAAGACAAAAAGTGGAACTTTCTGGAAGGAGTGTGTCCTTTTACAGCTGTTCTAAAACGTTTCAGGAAAGGAAACTCATACAAAACACACCTCTGAAGTGATGTAAAAGGCTAATTATCAGTCCGCCGTTGGCCCAAGCATTTAGATTAGTTTTAAGGGGTAGCTGCTATGGACAGGCCGGTGTGGACAGCTTTTCCTGGCATTTTGTTTTCATTCGGGTCATCTTTGTCAGAAATTTAGCTTTGTGATCATCTAAAACATTTAAGTGTAACAAAAAAAACAAAATAAGATACATCTATAGGCAAATACTTTTAAACCACACTCTACATGAAAAGTGCAATGCCTCAGTCACAATACAAACTTCCGCAAATCCAGGTGATATTTGAAAAAAAAAAAAAAAATTCACTGAATGAATGAAATGATTAGTTATAAATCTTTTAAAAAGAGAATTGATCCAGATGAAATGAAGGGACTGCTCCCCCTTTCCAGTCCCCCCAACACTAATAGGCCAGACTTTGGGGCATTGAGGTGGAAAAGAGATAAGTAGGCCGGGTCACATTAGAAAATCTGAACTTTCCCAAGCAAATGGATGGGCAAGCGAAAACTGTTTTGAAAAAAAGAACAAAGCAGACTTGCAGCCGTTGCTGTGCGGCTACATGTAGCGAGGGCTCTGCGTGCGGCAAACTAAAAGAGACTGAAGGTGAGGAGGAAACCCTGAGAGCAGCGTGCAAGCTCGTTTGGGCAGACCCACATCCTGTTGTTATTATGGATACCGGGGTTTGAATCTATGCATGTGTGTGAGTGTGTGTGTGTGTGAGCGGTTCAAAGAGAAGCAGAAAAACATGATAGAAGTAAAACGAGAGATATTTAGGTTTTCCATCAGAACACAAAATAAGAAAGCATTAATTGTAGCCCTAAATAAACACAAGAAAAAAAAAACACACGAAAATGGTGATGGCCCATTTACATTTGCTTGTGTGCATGATATCAATTTCACCTCTACAGGCACATGATTATAACCTGGAAATGAAGGCATGAGCTTAAATTGTCCACACACTTCTACTTTTGATACGCTTTTTCCACAGTATTAGGCTCAAGTATTAGAAAGAGACAAAACCACGACCCAACACGGAAAAAAAAAAAAAAAAAAAACCCTGAAAGAAACAGACATCTATGCTGGCCAAGGCGTAGGGAGACAGAGTGTAAAATTTTAAAGAGGTCAGACTCACCAAAGTAGACAGGCTTTCCACAAATTGGACAGTAGCCTACCATGGTCTGTAATTATTTATCGTGCAGGTACAAAGATCATGCGTGTGCGTGCAAGTGTGAACTGAAAATTCGACAGGAAAACGGTTTAACTGCAAGTATGTCAGCATCTTGTGAAGTCAGATCCGGATGCGGTGGGCCAGACGTCACAGGAAGAGAGTGAAGTTTGAGATTTCAGATTTGAGAAGCTGGCGCCAGTGGAAAAAAAAAAAAAAAGAGTCAGGTGGTGTCTCTGATCACATCCTGCACTCATTCTGAAAGACATCAAAGGGCCTAAAAAGCTGATATTTTACTCTATGGCTTCTCACCAATACACACAATGATGTTGTAAAGAGGGAATGAAAGAGGGGTGAAGAAAGGAGGAACAAAAACCAGCTGTCAGCAGCTCAGATTCCCACCTATCTTCTCCTCTTTCCTGCTCCTTTCTCCCTATTTTCTAGATTCCAAACCTCGAATTGAGCTTCTGAATCAAAATGGGAAACGTAATACTTCTCCCTTTCTTTTCCTGTCGGCCCATTGCCTCTCTCGCTTTCTCTCTCTCTCTCTCTCTCTCTCTGTCTCTTTCTCTCTGTATGTCACATACTCAAACACACACACAAGCACACCGGCTGTGTAATGACTCACACAGACACAAACCACACACAAAGGCTGCACTTCTCCTCAATGACGTCACAAAAAGAGGGTGAGGCACGGCGAGGCCGGGTTGGTTGCAGGGACAGATGGGGGTGGACGGGGGCGGCGGTTATCCCCTCGAGACAGGTGATGGAGGCAAACCTGGAGAGAGGGAGGGTGAGGTAACAGTAGTCAGAAACAGCTCAGCTGGGAGAGAGCGGGCGAACTGTCATGAACTTCTGAAAAAAAAAAAAAACCCAGAGTGGAACAGGATCGGTGAAGTCAGTGAGGAAGACAGGCAAATGTGCTTCTGGCTGGTTGCATGAAAACATAGAAGACACCATGGAGGAAGAAACATTCAGGTGCTTTACTTTAGTGAAAGTGATATCACTTGGTAGGATTACTCCAACAGGTAATACTCCCCCCTGTCCCCCACCCCCCCAAAAAAATAAATAAAAAAACAGCTGCCAAGCAGGGCCGGCCCAAGGGTGGATGAGGCACTAAGCAGGAATCTACTTGGGGCCCATCTCCATCTAAACCCACCACCCACCAGCAGCTACAACAGCACTGACTTGACTTCCCTTTTAAAGTGTCTATGATTTATCATGACAGAATTCTCCATGAACATATCTTTTTTTTAAAAGTGCAAATCCATAGATATGGAAACGGTATTGTGAATTAATGGCCTGGAAAACAAGATAAAACATGACTGGCTGCATCACACATGTTTGGCGTCTCAATACAGTAGACAAGAAACAAGAGTCTTGTTATTAAAAATGTGTGATTTAAGATTCATGCTTTAATTTTACTCTCAAGCTTCTACTGGCTGGAAGTTATATAAACTGACTTGAATCAAATTGGAAAAAACAAACAAAAAAAAAAAAAAACAAAAAGGCAGCTAAAGTTTAGGATGATGAGAAGAAGGGCTTCCAAACTCGCCGACTAGGAGCTCATCTCCAAAGATGAAGGTCTGAAATATCTGTAAGCTTGCCGGTAATAAGTTTAAAACTTGAATAGCTTGATGTACATTTGAACAATTTTTTTTCTTCTTTAAGTGGTGTATAAACTATATACCAGGAAGTTGACAGGCTGAGAATTTTCTGAAGTTTTGTCATGTCAGTGGTGCTGGGGTGTTGTGGTTTGGAATCTTGCAGCATTTGGCACGCTGTATTTTACAGTCATTAAAGGTTTTCTTTGAGTAATCTTAACCTTTATTTGGGCTATTTCTGTGGGCAATGTTCACATCAAATGACAACACTCATTATACACACGAGGGTATTAAAACGTGCATTTTCTAACCCTTTATTTCTTTTTAAATCTTCCATTTATTTTGCAGCATCCTATACTGAATACATATCATTTCTGGTCTAACCATGAATTTCAGCTGATAGCCCTAACAATTACAGAGCAGAACAGAGGCCAAAAGTGGAATCTCAAATTAGAGATCTTCTGGTTGCGACTCTTTAGACAGGAATGTTGACACGCTGCATGACAGCTGTAAACTGTGCAACAGGGGAGAAAATGAGATTGCAAACCATATTTAAATAATAATAATAATAATAACATAAACAATACTGTTGTCATTTACAGGTTTCTAGCGTTTCTATTGTTAAAATGTTTGAACATGGCAGTTACTCCAAATAAATCAGCGACATCTCAGTTCCAGGCCAACAAGAATTGTGTCATACACCAGGCAGCCTATAATCTCCAGACCTTTATTCGACAGAAAACATTCAGAATGACATTAACAATTATGTTTCAGAGATACATGTAACAAATGTGGAGAAACTGTGGAAAATATAGACTCGTAGCTCCGTGATACACTGCACACAATTTAAAGTGATTCCCGTTCCCCAGTTGTCAGACATGCAAATAAACCTTAGAAAGCTAATTTGGGGTACAACCAAAGAACTTACCTTTTCTTTTTTTCTTCAGCGCTCGTGGCGCCCCAAGGCCTTGCCGCTTTGGGGAGTCAGTCTTTTCACTTAAATGGAATGTTGAGTCAGGGTTACACAATAATTAACAGTGCAGCGATTCGCAAGAAAGCTACATTTTTCAAGTATGTTCAGTTTTTACTACGTTTGCAAAGGAAAACTCAGACATGCTGTTTCTCTGAACAGTCAAATATTTTATCTGCTCGCTCTCTGTAGCTCGAGAACAAACCAGCCATATTTTCTTTTTCATGATTTATATGATTTCAAATATAACTTTCAGTTTTTCCAGAAATAAAACCTGCAATAGGATCTTTTTTTTATTTTTTTACTTCATCCACCTTTTAAAACACATTATTATTTTGTACACATCAAGAACACATGTCCTAGATTTTGTCCCCCACACCCAGGTTTTCTTCCAAAAATCCATGTGGCTCTCACTGAACTTTATATATCCATTTGATATATACAGGATGTCTTCATTTGCATATTTGCCAACATCCTTCTCTTGTGTGCCATGCTTTGCAGAGGAATAGAATACCAAGCATTTATTTCATCTGACCAGGCTTCCCTAAAGGATAACCTATCATGTCTCTCCATCAGCATTCATTGTGTGTGGACAGGCAGCATTTGGAGAGTTACATCCTGAATCGCAGGCGGCTGATATGCATGCACAACTCACAATGATTTTTGATGCTAATTATGATTTTGGGATTTAAATAAAGAACAGCCACTGAATATGCACACAAAATAATAAGCGACCTGTCCCGTTCGAGAAAGAAGATTTCCATTGGTTGCTTTCAAATAAAATTGAAACACAATTAAGGGAATAATGAGAAAATCAAGAAAAGAAAAAAAACAACCAAAAAACAAAAGAGGAAGCAAAGCACTGAAAAGGGGACTCAATGCAATTGTGAAAGAGAGAGAGAGAGAGAGAGAGAGAGAGAGAGGGAACGGAAACAGGAGGAGAGAAGAGAGGGGGCGTTAAAACCACATTTCCCAGTGGATCTTTAGCCGAGGCCGTGTTGAGAAAACTGCCAAAACTCTTAACAGACACTCCCGCACTGGCGCTCACTTACACGCATGGTTCACTTCTGCCAAGTCATATGAGAAACACCAACACCAACTGGATGGAGAGACATGGGAAAAAGGTGTCGGCAGGAACTGGAGGGATTTACAGGCGACTGGTGGAAAAGGAGGAGGAGGAGAGAGAGAGAGAGGGAGAGAGAGAGAGAGAGAGACAGAGAGAAACTCAAGCTGCTCTCCCCTCTTCTGTGTCCTCTGGTGTGGCTCTGAGAACTGCATGTGGGCTGGGAGGAGTTGAGGGGTTGGAACACAGGAAGAGGTTCAAGAAAGAAAACGGCTGGAAGGATTCCTTCTTCCCACACACACTTTGAATGTATCACATGTGCATGCACATGAATGTTCACCACACACACACACACACACACACACACACACACACACAGTAGAAAAAAGGTGTCTTTTTTCCACCTTGCACTCACAGTCACGAGTCATCCTGTTTCAACTCTTGGCATCCTCCTTGCACCTCCAAGCCCAGAATATGACACTGCTTTAGGGTTTGGTCTCAGCAACAAGCTCACTGTTGTGCTCACAGTACGAGACGTGAGGTGGAGAAAATCAAGCGGATGAAGATAACAGGAGACCATGTGAAGATTTACTTTTCAAAACTTTTATATCGTGTTTGTTTTTTGTTTTTTTCTGTTTTTTCAAATTAAACTTTTTCTGTGTTGCATTTACTGCCCTCTTTGATATGGGAATTTTTTTTTTCTTTTAAAAAGAGAAATTTTATTACTACATTAGGTTGCCCCCTTACCACAAGGCATTGCTCGTCTCTGTTTGCCTTTTTGAAGATAACTTGCCACGGTCAAATGAATCTTTCTTGAATTCTGTATGTTGTGATGTGGTGACACATATTTGGGATGCTTTTTTTAATACCCCCCCCCCCACAAATCTTCCCCTCCTGTGCTAGTCTCCCTGCAGTCAGATGGTCCAAAGGCCATAATCCTCTACTGAAGGTATCAATGAATAAAAGTCAGCGAAATAATTCCTTGTTTTTCCTCTATTAATCTAGGAAAGCCCCTAAGTCCCCTCATGCTTCTGTGGAGTGATATGATTACAGCATGGCAGCCATTATTAGACGATTAGCAGTCATGAGTGGCTGAGTCAGTCCGATTGCATTATGGGACATTATGTTGTTTTGGAAGATCTGGACAAAAGCCTTTGGATGAATGTTTTTGTTTGTTGGTGTGTGACAAATATGCCTCTGTTTTTCTGCTTTTTGTGTCCTAATTTGGTCAGATGTAAAGTTTAAGTGAAGGTTTAGGGATGGCGTCATCTTTAAGTTGGTTTTGGATCAATTCTACAAAGTGTTTAATCTCAGTTCAGTCTATTTTTAGGGGTGGAAGACCCTGTGTGCAAACATGACTGAGTCTGTGTATTATAGCAAGGACATTTTCTATCACGATTCTTACAAACAAAACTATTAATGTTATAATGCAAACAGGACAGAATTGGTGGATGAATCAACAGAATTACATTTTCTTTTTGTCAGGCTTTCTCTATTGTAAACTCATAGAAATGCCACTATTGTCACACAATAATATTTTAATCTGGTACTGGTAATTTTGCATGGACTCCATTGACCCAAATGTTCTGTAGAAACCATATCTCCTTCTTTGTGAAAGTCTTATGTTTTGTTTGATCTAAAACCTAAAATATTTTTCGCATGTATTTATACACCTAACTTTGCAAATTAGAAGTTGTGCTTCTTCGACTCGCCATTTTGGTTGCAGCCACATAAGACGTGGTTTTAGGTACCCCAGCATATGAGGCCAGATAAGAAACAGCGTGACCACAGCTTAAGCAAAGAAGATGACAAGCTGAGAATTTTTCCACATTCTTGTCATGCCAGTAACAACAAGTTGGTTTGGTTCAGGATGAAAAAGCTCGGAAATGTTCCATCATCTGCCTTCTTGTATTTTACGGACATTTCAAGCTTTCGCGAAGCACCGTTAAGGACAACACGCCGTTCATCCAATGACAGGGTTCTAGACCTGTAGGTATTAAAACATGCAATGTCTAAACATTTATATTTCTCTTCTTGCATCGATATCAGATAATCTTAATATAAATATACATAATCACGTCTGCGCCATTCATGAATTTAGCTCATAACTCTGACAATTATTAAAAAAGAGTCAGTAGGCTAAAATGTTTACTATATGCTGAATGTAAGCAAGACTTAGAACTCAAGATCTAATTGTTGTTAATTGGAAAATATGGAAGCGACCCATAATAATAATAATAATAATAATAATAATAATAATAATAATAATAATAATAATTATTATTATTATTATTATTATTATTATTATTATTATT